AAACCATTTCAGGTGACTACCTCTTGAAGCTCATGGAGAGAATGCCAAGAGTGTGCAAAGCAGTAATCAGAGCAAAGGGTGGCTATTTTGAAGAAACTAGAATATAAAACATGTTTTCAGTTATTTCACCTTTTTTTGTTAAGTACATAACTCCACGTGTTCATTCATAGTTTTGATGCCTTCAGTGAGAATCTACAATGTAAATAGTCATGAAAATAAAGAAAACACATTGAATGAGAAGGTGTGTCCAAACTTTTGGCCTGTACTGTACAGCCTGTGAAAACAGCTGTATGCAGTCTTCTATGGTTTTAGAGGAGTTTGTCATGCCTCCAAAGTGTTTGGAGACTTTATAAATGACTGGTGGTGTGAAGTTAAATATGGTGTGCAAGAGAGGGAGATGTTACTGAGTTGCATTATGGGAAGGTAATGGATCCAGTCTTTTTGGAGCTTTATCTACAAACAAGATTAAAGCCAGGATATTTTGGCAATCATTAGTGGACTTGACTTGCACCACTTTTTTTTTTTTTTAATCTATCTGTCCTGATTTCCCCCAGCTTTATAAAAGTGAAATACTAAAACCACTGGAGTACCCCTCTAACACAAATACAGTTAATCAGTACTTTCTACTACTTTGGGTGAACAACTGGTGACCTTCAGCAATTCCTTTCTATGCTTCCAGGCTTAAAAACACAAATCTCTAAAAACAGTTTGTCTACTATGACTTTTTTATGCAAAAGTCTCTCATTGCCAGCTAAAAGCTCATCAGGCATATATGACTGCAAAGCTAACATAAAAAATTAAAAAATGACTGTATATCTTTTTGTATAAATCCCATTGACCCAAACCTGCTACACACAAACCCTGAGAAACTATGGTAAGCGAGAGAGGGCATTAACACCAGCCTCTGTCAAATATTAATAATATTGATTCTGAATGGTACGATTATTTTCTCTACAAAGACACTTGAGTTAGTGGATGGTTGTTCATTACCAGATCTGTTGTCTTTTAAAACCTCTGTGGGAACTAAAACAGAATATTCACTGTGATGTGGATCTGCCAGAGGGACTGATGGAACACAGGAAATGTTTTGCCGTGGCTACATTTGTGGGTGTTTCTGTTAGGTAAGACGGACACCTGAAGGTGTGCAGCAGGTTCGGTTTCAGGTTCAGGACTGCTGACTGCTCCACTGGTTGGCCATAGGCCTGCGGAGCAGCTCCTCCACATGACGAGCCACGTCCATTGTGTCTTCCAGGTCAAAGTCTCCATCTGCATCCAACATGGTGTCACTCCTGACAGGACAACAGCAGACACGGATGACACACTTTATGAGGGAGGTTCATGGGAAAATTAGCTTTTCTACATCATACTTCATTAGTATCACCCAGGACACACTGTATATACTTGAGCAAAGTAAACTCTAAATAACACATAAAACTACATTCCTTATAACACATAAAACTACTATCTCAAACCAGCATTAGTCAAACATGATGACATGACTCTGTCTTACAGAAATGCACAGGAGAATTTCCTTGCAGCATTCAACTTGTTCTCATACACACATATTGATTGATTGACAATGGCTACGGTTACATGATGGCTTCTCATTTAGAATGAAATAAATCTGAATGAAATCATTCAGAATTAAAGTCTTTCCAGGTAGTTCCAGGTAGTCCAGCCTTTATTCAGGTCTGTGCAAGGTTTGGGCCAGGGAATGTTTCTGATTGGATAGGGGGCGGGGCGGATGTTACGTGTTTACATTTACCGCAAGAAAACACTGTAGTCTTCGCTCCGGATAACAAGATGCTTGACGACGCCGTTCTTAGTGCCTTTTTCGGGTGTGTTTTGCTTATATTCTTGAAGCAGCAGTACGACAACAACCTTGTTCTGCTAATGCTTCATCTGTTGAGGAGGAGAAGGGAGGTAGAAGGTCAAAGAAGGGAGACAGAAGACCGTGCTGTGGCGAATGGAAACCGGTGAGTGCAACGAGTCCGACTGCTCTATCTCAGCCCGTTGCTATGCAGCCCATTGCTATGCGCACTATATACGTCATCGCGCCAGAAGGGCAAGGAAACAAGCATGCGCAGAAAGACCGGAATGAACTTAAAGAGGAATGAGTGTATACATGCACACAAAATTCTTTCATTCGGAATGACAAACAGAATAAACCACCCCCTTTAATCGGATTTAATATTCAATCGGAATGACCGTTTTTCAATCAGAATGACCGTTTACATGACCACTTTTAATCGGAATGGCCTTTCATTCCAATTAAAAGTGGAATTAAACTGTGCATGTAAACGTACTGCATGTCATCTTAATCAATCATCTTGAAAAGCTGATTGGTCTTTCTGACTGTGTGTTACAGTGGTTAAAAATAAACATCAAAGGTTGAAAGGTTTATGTCAGTCCTGGAGATCATGAGTCTGAGAAACATGACCTCTGATTTGGGGTTGCACAAGGGAGCTGCCTTGGTCCATTATTATTCTCACTGTACATGCTGCTACTTGGTGACATCATTAGAGAACACAATGTTTGTTTCCATAGTTATGCGGATGACACGCAACTGTACATCTCTGCTGAGCCAAACAGCGCTGCAGCCATAAACTCCCTTACTTCCTGTCTTTTGGCAATAAATAAATCGATGAGCAACAATTTCTTAAATAGTACTTAAAGTTTAATGAAGATAAAACTGAAATCCAGCTGCTGATCTAAGCTTCAAGTCCCACATTAACAACAAAAACATATTTTTCCACTTCAGAAACATAGCTAAGGTATGGCCATTACTAAATAGAAAAGATGCCAAGAAATTGATCCATGCCTATTTCAAGCCCACTTGACTACTGTAATGCACTTTTTTCTGGCCTTCCAAAAAACACCACTGAGAGACTTCAGCTCATTCAAAACTCTGCAGCTCAGTTATTAACCTGAACCAAGAGGAGAGAGCACATCAGGCCAGTCTTAGCTGCTCTGCACTGGCTTCCTGTTACATTTAGAATTTATTTAAAGCTCCTCCTCCTTGTATACAAAGCACTAAATGGGCTGGGACCCAGCTATATTGCTAACTCTCTTGTTAACTGTTTGCCTCCAAGAACAATGCAATCATCTGCTGCTGGTTTATTGGAGGTTCCCAGCAACAGCCGGAAGAAGATTGGGGATGATTCCTTTGTCAATAACACCCTAAAGCTATGGAACACACTACGTATAGATATCAAGGTAGCTAGCGCACTAAATATTTATAAAAGAAAGCTAAAAATGGATCGGTTCACTTTATCTTTTAACTAGCTCTGACTTTCCTGATTCAGGTCTGACACTTCTATTTATGCTTCACGCCGCTGCAACACTTTTAAAATTTTACTTGATTTTATGATTATAGTTTTACAATTCTATGATTTTATTCATCAGTTCTGTTTTATGTTTATTCTGTCTATTTTCATGTGAAGCATGGATAATGCCCTTATTATAAAGCACTTTGTTGTGCATTTCTTGCATTAAAGGTGCTATAGAAACAAAGATCATTATTATTATTATTATTATCATTATCATCATATCATCATTAGTAGTAGTAGTAGTAGTAGTATTCTGGGGACTGACAGACAAATATCCTGTGAGTTTCCCATGAAACATTAAGCTAAAACATAAAATTGTTTCTCACAGTTGTTGGCTTTAGACCCTTTACTGTACTCATATTTATTTATTTTTTCCAGAAAGACAAGAGAACAAATTTGTCAGTACAACTCTGAGCAGTATATTTATTACTCCTCATTTATATTCTGCTTATACTACACTGATTGTCTGTGTTTATGGACATATTCACACACAGCTGGCTCACAGTAGTGGATGAAGGGTTAACAACCTTTACTTAAAGGTCAAGTGTGTAGGATCTAGTGGTGAGGGCGCTGACTACATGTAGGAGGATTATGGTGGTCGACATGAAAACCTAATACCCCTTATTTAGAGTCAGTGTTTGGTTTGTTGGTTCTGGGCTGCTATAGAAACAACATGGCGGACTCCGTGGAAGAGGACCTGCCATTCATGTAAATATAAACACTCATTCATTCTAAGGTAAAAAAAAACCAGAGGTGCCGACTTGGTTAAACACAGTGGGGCAAAGATGAAGGCGTCATGTCATAAGGAGACTGCATGCTCTAACCAAGTTGGGCTCTTTCTCCTTGCTATAACAGCTTGCAGATGCTGGGAAAGGTTCTTTTCAACATGTAAATATCAACACTCATGTTCTCTGGTGAACCTTTACTGTAGGCCTTACACAGGGGACTTTCTTGACAGCCGTCTAAAGGCAGCAGATATCTGTTCCTTCTGCAGGCTCTACTTAGAGTGATGTTGCTCTCTGTTGAACTGCAATTATGCACAGCAGATATACTGCTTACAAATTGTGCAACCTGCATCAGAGTGTTTTAAAATAACCTCACATCCCTCAGTGCTTATTCTACATAGTTTCTTCTGCACATCAACAGGCATATTGGAGACAGATTGAAAAAAGTTCACACAGCTTCATGAGAAATTGTCAATCTCTTAAAACTTCACGCTGTGCTTTTAACTCTTTCAGGACTGTCTGTTCCAGTCAGTCTTTGACCCAGTGAATGCATTCTAAACACCGGTTAAGTGGGGTAACGGCTGCCCAGCACAAGAATGGCCAAAATGTTGCCTGGAGCTTCACATTTGTCCCAAGGCCCAGACCACAACAAGTTTCGGGTTCCCAAAAATGTCAGTGCATCATGACAGAGAAAGCTGTGATTAGATGGGGTGAAAGTAGTGACTGTAATAAGCCATGTTTGTCACAGCTTTTAATGTACCCACCTAGGTTCTTTCTGATCCCACCCCTGCCCATTGCCCAAGTGCACCACAGGTGTGCCAAAATGACCAAAGGTGTGTTTGGAACGCTCCCGACACACTTGACAGGGTGCACCTGACTGCGAGCTGGCTGACCCCTAGGTTCACAATAATAGAGCCCGCGGAGTCTTCTTGTGCGCACAAAAAGATGGGGGACAAAAAGTCTCGCTGTCCCCTCTATTACAGCACCAGTGATGAAAACGTTGATTCTTAGTTTCAGGTGATTATACACTAATGAAAACATGGTTAAGTTTATTATATTCCATTTATGCCAATAGATGGCTCTGAATCCTACACACTGGAGCTTTACTTAAACCTGAAATAACTGATGTTTTTGGCCATTTGGGGGCAGTGAAAACAAGTTGTGAACACAACATTATATTATTGACTTATATGGTGAACTCGTTAGCCAACAGTTGCTTATTAACACATCCAGCAGTTACAGAGCAGCCTTATCATTCATTAGGAGTGGTGGTAGTGTGCAGTGGCTTTATCAGAGCATTTTCTCTCTTAACAGCTGCCTGCTACTGCTGAACACGACACTGAGAGAAGTGAGAGTGAACCAAAACAGTAAAGTTAAAAAACAATGAGCTTAAACTCACTATAGACCGAATAACAATGTTTATCTACATTAACCTCTAGGTATAAAATCCTAGCACCATGTACATAAAATCAAACAGCACTGAGCAAACACTGCCTAATTGGCAAGTTTTTAGCCACCTAAAAAAGCAATATCAGTTTAAGTGTTGCTACATTTAGAATATTTTTTACTGCTTTACCTTGCTGTGAGACAGACTTTCTGACTGTTAACTGAAGCCATTATATCAAAGCCTCCCGACTCCACTGACAAAAATAGTAATTTTACTTTGTACTTCACTGAGTTGCTTTTCCACAGCAGCCTTGATTGTTTAGTGTGTAAGTTAAAGCAGAGCAAATATTCAAATATAGCGTACATTTAACACTGCTTTCAATTTTTTAAGGTTGTTAAAATATGTTTTGCTGCGGCCCCTGACAACAGAAGTACATTGCTGGGCTTCTTTGCAAGTAGATTTGGTTTATCTAAAATGCTAGCAAAGCAGCAGGGTACATAAAATAAGCACAGCAGAAACACTGGATTGGTCGGACCACTGTGTTTAACTATATATCTTTAAACAACACAGTTACGGCTGATAATGACAACAGAAATCAGCAAGTTTGCAATATGTAACATATGTCCGCAAATGTAATCAAATGCCAGTTGTCTACCCAGACGTGACTGTTGTTAGCATGATGTCAGAGAGGTCTATAAAGCTCTCAGTAAAGTCGAGGAAAGCTACGGATTTAACTCACAATTCTGTATAGGTTCATCACTATGAGAGACACCATGAAGATTGTCATTTGATACACTTATATCTTAAAAATATCGCTAATAGCCATTTTAAAAGGACAACTTCGGTATTTTTCAACCTGGGCTCTATTTCCCCATGTGTATGTGTGCGTATGATTCATGGGTACCACTTGTTCTAAAATTGGTTCAGTATTGAGCCGCGAAACGAGCTAAAATGGTAACGGGGGCAAATGCATCCCGTATAAAAGTGCTTTTTTTCGCCACTGACCGGTTCAGATCGCCAGTGTTATCTCTGTAGATAGCATATTGTAGCGGCCCTGGGGCAGTGGTGAGTGTGAATGAGTGGAGTCAGCTGTCAGCCAGTCTTGGAGCAGAGAGGCAGATGGCATCCCCACTTGGTAATGTAAATGAGTATGTGTGTGTGAAGTGTGTGTTACACTAGAAGAGCGGAGTCTTTTACGTGCTACCCTCTGGAGTGTTACCAGAGTTTTTGGAGTGCTCAAATAAACGGGCCTTTTTCCCGAACGCAAGAACAGGATGTTGCGCAACACCCTGTACAGCTTTCATAGGCTGCCTTTGTCGGATGGCGAGATGCTGAAGTTGTGGCTAGTTGTGCTACAAATGGATGCTAACACTCCTCTCCAGACACTGCGCCTTGCAGACCATCGGGTCTGCAGTGCTCACTTCTCCCAAGATGACTACTGCCAGCCGAAGAAGAGAAGACATCCAATCCCGAAACACCTCTTCCTCAAGAAAACGACTGTCCCACGAGTAAAGAGAGCTACAGACACAGTGGAGCAAAGCTCGTGACATCACACAGCCCAGAGGTAAGGGAAAGGCTAAGTTAGTATGCTATTTACAGAGATAGCACTGGCAATCTGAACCGGTCAGTGGCGAAAAAACACACACTTCACACACACATACTCATTTACAATACCGAGCGGGGACGCCCTCCGTCTCTCTGCTCCAACACTGACTGACAGCTTACTCCACTCATTCACAGTCACCACTGCCCCAGGGCCGCTACAATATGCTATCTACAGAGACAGCACTGGCGATCTGAACCGGTCAGTGGTGAAAAAAAGCACTTTTATACGGGACACATTTGCCCCCATTACCATTTTAGCTTATTTCGCGGCTCAATACTGAACCAATTTTAGAACGAGAGGTACACATGAATCATACACACACATACACATGGGGAAATAGAGCCCAGGTTGAAAAATACCGAAGTTGTCCTTTAAGTAGCTGCAGCAATACCATAACAAAACAAATAAACTCCCTACAGGTAAATAAAAAACATAAATAAAAGAGGAATGTGCTTACATAGAAGGGTAGACACCAAAGTTGTTGGGGTGGCTCACAGACGGAGAAGGGGTTTGGTCCATGAATGTAGGTGTTCCTCCACTGGGTTCAGGGTTTGGGGTGGTGAATCTGCCAGGGACATATGAGATCATGGATATATTAATCAATAAAATAATATGTGGCATGTCTAGCCCTAATGACTGACTTACAACACCTTATAATAATGACATATTTTACTAAGAATAACACTCATTTTTGACTGGCTGGCAGGTGTTGGTCAAAAATTAATTTTGTTATACCTTATAGACATACATTTAATGGCAACTATACTTTCAGTGTGCTTTACACCACCTCAACAGTTAACTCTTACAGGTTCCACAGACTTATTATGGGTTAACTAACTACAAACAAACATCTAGGTTCAAGGTTCAAGGAGTCTTTATTATCCCCGTGGGGCAATTTATTGTACAGCCAGCAGTACTAAACAAACAATTAAACAACAATCACTCAGACAACAATAAATAACCAGAGACAACAAAAAAAAATGAAGAGCAGGTCAGTCACTTATTCAGGAGAGCAATAGCAGCAGGGACAAAGGAATGTTTTAGTCTGTTAGTCCTGCATTTTGGCAGGATGTACCTACGCCCCGACGGAAGCAGCAGGAATTCACCAGCCAAGGGATGGCTCTGGTCCCCAAGGATAGAACAGGCTTTGCTTAAAGTTCTGAGCTGGTAAAGGGCAGTGAGGTCATTCAGGATAATACCTGCAAATATGCTGCACACTCTTACAATACCCTGCAGTCTGTTTTTGTTTCTGAGGGAGAGGGAGCCGTACCAACAAATGAAGGAGAAGGTGAGGATGGATTCAATAAAACAAGAGTAAAACATCCGCATAAAAGTGCTATCAACATTAAAATTACGCAGCTTCCTGTAAAAATACATGCGCTGGTGGGCCTTTTTTACACACAGCATCAACTTGAGTCTCGAAGGTCAGCTTGTCATCTATATAAGTCCCAAGGTACTTGTAATTGTTGACCAGCTCCACTGCTTCATTCTCAATCATAACAGGGGAGATGACTGTGGGATTTTTCCGAAAGTCAACCAACATCTCTTTAGTTTTTGCTACACTGATATGTAGGAAGGAAGAGCTGCACCAGTCCATGAATTCCTTCACTTCAGGTCCATGCTCCAGGTCGTCACTGCTCAGAAGGGACACAATGACAGAGTCGTCTGCAAATTTAACAATGTGTCGCCCCACATGTTGACTGTGGCATTCATTTGTATATAAAACAAATAATAAAGGTGAAAGAACGCAGCCCTAGGGTGATCCAGTGGAGGAGACAAGAGTGTCTGACAGAACACCATTAACCCTCACACGTTGTGGTCTCACTGTTAAAAAGTCAATAACCCAGGCTATAAGACCAGGATCAATGTTATGGGAGTCCCTTAGTCTCTCTGCTAAAATGTGTGGCTGAATACAATTCAAATTAAATTAAAAGCGGACGAGAAATCAATAAATAAACGACGGGCGAAAGACTTGGCTCCCTCAAGATGAGTTAGAACAAAGTTCAACAGGGTGCCAACTGCATCTTCAACACCTCTGCCTGACCTGTAGGCAAACTGCAGTGGGTCCAAGTTATTTTGGACACAGGTCAGAAGTGATTCCTTCACAATTTTTTCAAATGACTTCATAACAAGGGAGGTCAGTGCGACAGGTCTGAAGTCATTTAGTGATTTTGGAGATGCAGATTTGGGTACTGGAACTATAATAGAATTCTTCCAGAGTGAAGGGACCTTGTGAAGCTGGAGGGACGTTGAAAAAATAAAACTAAAAATATCTGCCAGCTGGACAGCACAGTTCTTGAGGACCCGACCTTCAATGCCATCCAGGCCTGGACTTTTACTCTCCCTGACACGCTGAAAAAGTCTACAAACTGTGTTCCTGTCAACAACAACACTGTTCTGTGAGGAGACAGTATTTTTAAAAACTGACAGTTCATCACTAAAGTCACAGGCATTAAAACGGTTATAAAAACTGTTCAGTTCGTCCGAGAGGACCAGATCAGGCTTCCCATTAAGGGATATGTTACACTTCTTGTGTTGCATCCCCATCATAGATTTTATGCCCTCCCAAGCAGGGCGGGAGCTGCCTGTACTTAACATGCTCTCAACTTTGTCTTTATACTTGCGCCTAGCAACATTGAGCTCCTTTTTGAGCTGCTTTTGAAGCTCTCTATATTGTGTGGTGTCGCCCTGCAAGAAGCAAATATTCCTCTGATTAATTATTTTTTTGACACCTTTTGTCACCCAAGGCTTATTATTAGGATAAAAGGAAATTTCCTTCCGTGGAATTATAGAGCTCTCACAAAAGGAAACATATGAGGAGACAACATCAGTGAGTTCATCCAGGTCCTCACAGACATTTATAAACAGATCCCAGTCCGTATCATGAAAGCAATCTTGGAGACAGTAAATTGATTCCTCCGACCAAACCGGAACCAAACGTCTCTCTGGCTTGTTTCTCTTCAGGACAGATTTGTAAGACGGAACTAAGTACACCGCACTGTGGTCTGACATACCCAGCGGAGCTCTTCTGAAAGATTTGTACGCTCCCTTTATGGAACCAAAACAAAGGTCCAGACACTTTCCATGTCGAGTGGGACACGTCACATATTGGTAAAAGTTACACAAGGACTTTGATGGTTTACAATGATTAAATTCGCCCAATATAAACTGCGGTGCATCCGGTGCTATCCCCTGCAGCCGCTGCACGGTTTTTAGCATAGCCCTAGTGGCTACATCGGCGTTAGCCTTTGGGTGAATATAAACCAGAGTGATGAATAACTGTGGGAATTCTCTGGGTAAATAATGGGGTAGCAGTGATACAGACAATAGTTCAATGTCTTTGGTGCATAATGTCTCCCTGACAACCACCATAGTACACCAGTTTTTATTAACACAGAGACACACACCCCTGCCGAGTGACTTGCCGGTCACTGCGGGGTCTCTGTCAAGGCGGTATGGAACTCCAAATCCATCGATCTCCAGATCCGGGGATGGATCATGCTCCTTAAGCCAGGTCTCCGTGAGGACCAGGACACAGGTGTCCCTGTACTCTGCAAGGCACCTGACGTTGCCCTGAAGCTCCTCCACTTTGTTCCAGAGCGACTGAGCGTTAGCCAGGATGACAGTGGGCAGCGGTATCCAATGGTGTCCCTGCCGCTTAAGCCTCTAGCGCAGACCGCCACGTCTCCCCCGTTTCCTGGTGCGTTTTGGCCCGGATGACCAGCTCCGGTTCCCCGTAGAAGGATTCAGCCGGTTAATCTCCGTGGGTAAAGCTGTCGAGGAATCCACAATGCCCTTCCCGGAGTCACGGAGCAGAAATAAGAAGTCACGGCTGTACTGGAGAGGTTTCCCATGCTCACAAGCACCAAGTAAAATGTGACTTAAAAACGTCAGAAGGAAAAGGATGCCCCCCAAACTAGAGTGAGTCCTTGCTGCCATTATCCTCCACAAGTGGTTAAAAAGAGTTAGTTAAAAAAGTTAGTAAGAACACTTAAAACAGCCACTTTAAACAGCCACACCAACACTCATCTAACACACTGCTGCTGCGTATCACCATGACCAGCGCCACTACATAACCCTAATCTAAAAATACCATCCAAAGCTACAGGACAGTCAAAATTACAAATAAGTAACTACGTGGTGTATAGTTCATAGCAATGCAATAATCTTCTGTTAATTGCAACCATATTCTTTGAATAACATCATGGCAACTTCATGGCATCATCATGGCATCATCATGGCAACATCATGGCAGCATCATGGAATCATGTGCATCTCAACTTCAAGACACAAATTAAATGACACGTCCACAGTGCATTCAGAAAATATTCAGATACCCTCACTTTTCACATTATTTTGTTAGTTATTAAGTCCTGTCAGTTTTAAGTGATTTAACTGTGACAGTTTCAGAAAAGAAAGAAAAAGAACAACTTACTCTGGCACTACTTGTTTGATCTGTGGTTTGACATATCCATCCACTGCTTTTGCTGCAACAGAGACACGGCTTTAAAATCTACATTGCATAGTCTTTTCAACTTTACAGTGCCATCCATGTACTGGAGATGCCAACAAAGCATTTTTCATTTCATTGATGATATTAGCAGATGTGTATTTGGCCCATAACAGTGATGTTGGGTGTGAATAGAAATTAGCATAAATGATACATACAGAGTGGAGGGGTGTAGTACTTGGCAAAGACCTCGTCTTTGGGCCGGTCAGGGTAGAGAAACAGAAGGTGGTTCAGGTCACTGATGCGGTCAGCCAGGGAACGAATAGAAAAGTCCTTAGTTGTATAAGGCAACAGATTCCAGACCAGCCTCTCACCTAGCAAAAGACAGACACAGCCAAGAATTACAATCACTGGATTTATCAAGGCATGATATAATACTGTTGCAGGGATTAAGATGATTTATATACACTTTTCATGTTATGAATGTATGAATGCATGAGCACATAAGCACACAGGTGGAATTAAGGGCCAATACTGACTGCAGAAAATCATACTCAAGCAAACAAAAGAAATGCTGCGTTTCAGCAGAGCAGTTTTTGTATGCATTTCATTTAGTTATATGTTAATTTAATGAAGGATTAATTAATTAGAATGAATCCCCGTAAGAACTGCACTTAGTGTACGAGAGCTTTAAAAGCAGCACAGCAGTTGGGTACCTGGTTTGTTGGGGTTCTCAGCCACCCAGGCAATGGTGATGCCTCCAATCTCAGAGTCGCTGAATCGCAGCAAGAAGGTGCCATTGGGTTTGGACATCAGCATGTCCTGTGCCTGCTGCTTGTTTACAAAGCCCAAGATGGCCCTATTAACACACATATTTACACACAAGGTGAGGCAGAGGCTGGCTCTAAAGCGAGTCAAGGCCCATAGACCCCCATGTTTAAATGCCCAACTTTACAGCAGAAATAAACATATTTACAGCCTGGTACAAAATTAAAAAAAAAAAATCGATTTTGGTCTCAAAAGCTAATTTCCATGTTAATGACAACTGTACAGGGAGTGAATTTACATAAAATTCACCTGTTTAAATGTCATTAAGGGTTAAGGATTAAAGCTATGCATAATTAAGGACATGGCCACTTTGAGTGACAGTGGGTGCTCTCCATTGACAGGTTGCTACCAGGGTGACAACATTGGTTAGGTAATGTAACCATGGCATAAGCCCAGATTCATAGATTATAGGGGTAGCTCTAGCTGTTGTGATTACAGTATGTTTTCAGTTCATGAAAGTTAATGGTTACATGTTGGTCACCTAAAAATTCTTGTTCAACAGATGGGGGTGGGGGAAAAAATTGATACAGCATAGTACTGCAATATTTTTGTGTGGCAATATCATATCCTCATGCAGGGCCATTTATTATTATTTTTTATTATATCAATTATTATTATTACAAATACAAATTAAACTTTAGGAAGCGTGCTAGAATAATATAATCAATAGCTTTTTCAGTCCACTACATGCATTTTGCTGCAAAAAAATGGCTGAAGTGAGATGAACAAGCTGAAAACTTAATCTTATTAGATAAAACAGATGTTGACAAAGTTTTCCTTTGGGGACATAATTTACAGTTGAAAAAAGGTAATAAATCACAATATATCGCAATATATGTTATCGCAATACTCTGCATATTGCAACATATTTAAAATCACAATAATATTGTATTGTGACCTAAGTATCAACATAATATTGTGTCAAGGATTCTCTGGTGATTCCCACCCCTACTCACAGACCCTCTGAGGAGCAAGATATTCATTTTTTCCAGTAAGTATTTTGTGTTAATGGTATTAAGCCCATTTTTGCTAACAAAAATGAGCATTTTCATTATCACTGTTAACCCTGACACTTGTTGCTAGCTTGGTTAGCATGATGCATTTACAGCTATGGTTATCTCCACCGTCGTCCAAATATAGTCACCTCTGGCTTCAAACATCCAAGATGGTGAAAGCAAAATTTCAAACTTGAAGTTTAAAAACAGGAGACAGCAATTAACAGATGATGTCACTGTGTCCATTTTTTAAATTTTTTTTGCAAAGTCTGTGGACACACCCCCATCTCAGACCAAACTGTCGGCAGGCGAGTTGCACCATGGGTAACGTAGGCACCAGGTTTTGACAAGGCAGAATAATGTGAGGAATAAACATAAAACAGTTTCTTGCCAAAGAACTCAGGATGAGTCATTACCCATCATTCCAGTGCGGCTTGAGATGTTTCTTCATGAGCTCCACAACTCCATCAAACCACTGCCAGAAGGTGAAGTTGCGTCCAGGTAAGCTCTCCTGTACAGATTGAACATACTCCATCAGTGTGTTTACATGTACACAAGAGGCCAGGACTTTTTGTGTTTAATTTTACATTCAGCTATTGAGCTGTGGAAACAAGCATGCCTCACCCGATTGAACTGGGCCCAGGATATGGTCATGTTACGGTAATCCTCAGGGTTGTTACTGCCGCTTGTAAAAGCTTTCTGTGCCAGGAAGACCAGGTTATCCTCCGACAGGCCACGCCCACTGTGCATTTCTGCCTTGTACTTCATATCGAGGGCCTCACATAGCTGGGGCCACAACACCTTGTCTGGCACGATGAACGGCACCCTGCCCTGAGGAGACACGGAAGAGTGAAAAATATGGAAAAGAAAATGACAAAACTAACCTTTCAATAGCATATTATGCTAACTACAACCTGACAAGCTGACACTGTGTTTGAGGTTATGGCGAACGATTACTTGATACAGTCACAACCTGACATGGTGAAGTAAAAGAAAAAAAAAAAAAAAAGACACCAATATGGAAAACCATCAACCATCCATGTACAGCAAACTCACCGGCTCAGCAAAGGCATTGTCCCACAAGACTGTGGCTGTGGCGTTGTTGTCCTGGCTGCCATGGACAATCACTACTACAGGCAGTGATAAAGTCTGCAGTTTAAAGACACAACAACAGAGACAATAAAAGATTTACAGAAGAAGAAGAGTCTTCTGGATTCAAACTTATGGAGTATTAATAAATGGTTAATGCCAGAAAATATCAGACTTGAGAAATCTTGGACAAAGCCACATATCTCTTGTTGAACTTGAATTAGTTTTTAATATCTTCCAAATAAGACTAAGACGGTGGAAAGGTCAAATGTCCCATCTGTTTACTTTGACATGGAAGACCAGCTCGTTGCCCCCGACACTGAACTGTGATTCAAACAGAACTGTGAACTTCTCCTCCGTCACTGACTCTGCACCTCGACGGTCTGAACGCTTGATCCTCTTCAGTGACTGTAAGAAGACAGGAAAAGATTGGAGTCATGTTCCTTCATAACAATAAATAGCCAATGTAGTGCATTCTAAAAATAACTGAACAACCACATTATTAATCTCTGGAGAGTGGCTGTGTATCAGGCAGACGTTATGAAGGTATTTCAATTTGCTTTTTTGACAAGCTGAGAGGAATAAGATACATCAGGCTGTAGATATACACTAGGGGTGTAACAATACAATACATATTGAACCGGTATAAGGCCTTCGGTTCAGTACGCGTTAAGAACCGAAGGATATGTTACATTTGGAAAAGAAGATATATAGCCTTAACTGTGTTGAATATAATGTTCTTACCAAGGCAGTGTTAAATATAATGAATATGAATATGAATGAATATATACACACACACACACACACATATATATATATATATATATACAGTACAGGCCAAAAGTTTGGACACACCTTCTCATTCAATGCGTTTTCTTTATTTTCATGACTATTTACATTGTAGATTCTCACTGAAGGCATCAAAACTATGAATGAACACATGTGGAGTTATGTACTTAACAAAAAAAGGTGAAATAACTGAAAACATGTTTTATATTCTAGTTTCTTCAAAATAGCCACCCTTTGCTCTGATTACTGCTTTGCACACTCTTGGCATTCTCTTGATGAGCTTCAAGAGGAAGTCACCTGAAATGGTTTTCCAACAGTCTTGAAGGAGTTCCCAGAGGTGTTTAGCACTTGTTGGCCCCTTTGCCTTCACTCTGCGGTCCAGCTCACCCCAAACCATCTCAATTGGGTTCAGGTCCGGTGACTGTGGAGGCCAGGTCATCTGCCGCAGCACTCCATCACTCTCCTTCTTGGTCAAATAGCCCTTACACAGCCTGGAGGTGTGTTTGGGGTCATTGTCCTGTTGAAAAATAAATGATCGTCCAACTAAACGTAAACCGGATGGGATGGCATGTCGCTGCAGGATGCTGTGGTAGCCATGCTGGTTCAGTGTGCCTTCAATTTTGAATAAATCCCCAACAGTGTCACCAGCAAAACACTCCACACCATCACACCTCCTCCTCCATGCTTCACAGTGGGAACCAGGCATGTGGAATCCATCCGTTCACCTTTTCTGCGTCTCACAAAGACACGGCGGTTGGAACCAAAGATCTCAAATTTGGACTCATCAGACCAAAGCACAGATTTCCACTGGTCTAATGTCCATTCCTTGTGTTTCTTGGCCCAAACAAATCTCTTCTGCTTGTTGCCTCTCCTTAGCAGTGGTTTCCTAGCAGCTATTTGACCATGAAGGCCTGATTGGCGCAGTCTCCTCTTAACAGTTGTTCTAGAGATGGGTCTGCTGCTAGAACTCTGTGTGGCATTCATCTGGTCTCTGATCTGAGCTGCTGTTAACTTGCCATTTCTGAGGCTGGTGACTCGGATGAACTTATCCTCAGAAGCAGAGCTGACTCTTGGTCTTCCTTTCCTGGGTCGGTCCTCATGTGTGCCAGTTTCGTTGTAGCGCTTGATGGTTTTTGCGACTCCACTTGGGGACACATTTAAAGTTTTTGCAATTTTCCGGACAGACTGACCTTCATTTCTTAAAGTAATGATGGCCACTCGTTTTTCTTTAGTTAGCTGATTGGTTCTTGCCATAATATGAATTTTAACAGTTGTCCAATAGGGCTGTCGGCTGTGTATTAACCTGACTTCTGCACAACACAACTGATGGTCCCAACCCCATTGATAAAGCAAGAAATTCCACTAATTAACCCTGATAAGGCACACCTGTGAAGTGGAAACCATTTCAGGTGACTACCTCTTGAAGCTCATGGAGAGAATGCCAAGAGTGTGCAAAGCAGTAATCAGAGCAAAGGGTGGCTATTTTGAAGAAACTAGAATATAAAACATGTTTTCAGTTATTTCACCTTTTTTTGTTAAGTACATAACTCCACGTGTTCATTCATAGTTTTGATGCCTTCAGTGAGAATCTACAATGTAAATAGTCATGAAAATAAAGAAAACGCATTGAATGAGAAGGTGTGTCCAAACTTTTGGCCTGTACTGTATATATATATATATATATATATACATATATATATATACACACACACACACACACACACACATATATATATAAAATCTAAGCCTAAGCTTACCATGTTTCTGAAGTGTGCACTTAGGGTGCCAGTGGCTTGGTGATACTCCATTACACAGTTGTTGTTAAGGATTTCTCCACTGCTTTCACTACCAAGGCAAAAGAAAACAGTTGTAAAGGATTAACACACTCTTAGTACCTGTAGCCGGAAATATTGCTATCTGAAGATAACTCATTTAACTGTTGATCTCAAATAATGACTAAACCACCATGACACTATTTTTATTTGTGTAGTTATTGCCAATTGCCTCTTTAAGATCTGACGATGTACCTGGTATAATCACCCATTCTTTTTGCCTTTTATCAGCTGAATGTCCATGTTTTTTACCTGTACATTTATCATTGTCACAAGTCTCCATGCTGGCATGTGCTCCTCACCTGTGCGTGCTCTCATTCTTCAGCAGAGCTTTGGCTTGCTGCTCGCTAACAATGACAGCCTTGACCTGAGGTGGATTCATGTGGACGTTGAGCTTCCCCCCCACCAGAAGGCGCACTGTGGCTGCAAACTTGGTCTGGGTCTTTAACACCTGGGGCGGCTGCTTTTCAATGATAAAGGTGCTGAAGAGAAGAGGGGACAATGACATGCTGGGTTGGTCAACATTTTCTCTCTTTGGAGGATTTCAATTATCCAGAGGTAGTGATATTGATGATTGGACATTAGCTCAGTTAAGGTTGAGAGATTCTTTCCATAACAACCAAAAAGAGAATCAGTGAGAAGGCACAACACTGACAAAATCATTCAACCACACAGAACTGCTTCTTGCCATGAACACACACAGCTCTCACTTCAATTATACAAGGACAAAAACTGCTTGTTGTATTGGTCTCTGCACTCTCTTGCAGCAAACCCCACAAGATATTAAGAATATGCCATATTTTAGGCCCCGTTTACAACTGGTATTAACATGGATCCTGGGTGATTGGATCAAAAAAGGACAGCTTTAAGTACAGGTTAATTTGTGTATGAAGCAGGGAAGTGATATCTGATCACAAGAGGTCACTCAAGGTGCATCCAATGCCAGGTATGAACAGACAGACTTCAAGCTGTCCACTTGTGATCCCATCACCCTAGATGCACGTTAATACCAAATGTAAGTCCAGAAAGCACATAAAGACCAGACAGGGAAAAACCATGACCTATTCAGTATCCTTACAAGAGTAAAAAACTCTCCCATTGCTCAATGGGCAGGACAGAATCTGCATTTCTACAAGTCGGTTTCATTTCAACATCCTTACAATAATGTTCTCAAGGAGTCTAAGCAGTGTGATACCACCTGTATAACAGCCAGTTGAACAGCAACAACACAACAGCATAGTGACACAGTTACACCTCTGCTATACAGAGGAAGGATTGCAGATGGGGAGTAGCTAGTAGCTACATCTGCAACAACAAATCAACTTCTTGCTTGAGGTAACTGTTATTGTACATGGTCCCTTACAAATACATGAAATGACAAGAAAAGGAAGGCAGGCTTTTTGCTGTGTACTGCCAGCTGATAGCGAAAAATTGAGGCTGAAAACAACTTATGTGTGGAACAAGGCATTTCACTTGGAATAATCTGGAATAGATTATATTCAATTAATAATTTGATGAGTATATTCACAGGTTAATGAATTACTATTTTAAACAGAGAGTGACTGTGTTTCAGGTGAGCAAGACAGAGGGAGAGAGCGAGTATAAAGAGAGAAGTAAAGCAGAAACTTAACGTTATTCAATAATTGGGCAATGCAACTGTGGTGTAATTCTGTGGTTTAGTAGCAGTGTAAATATGGAACTACACTGCAGACTGTGTTTTTGATAAAGGAGAGATGAGGGTGGCTGAACATAGATTGTTAAGCCCCACCCCCTGAGTGTCTCCCATATGAACAGAGTGAAGAAAAGCATCTGTGGATGTCCGGTGCTTGAGAAGTGATGGAATCATGGGATGTGTATAAATAGGACGTGTTAGTTTAGCTAGTTTTTTCACTAGATCAAATGTCTTGGAAGGGGATGGTGAGGAACAGGGGGTGGAGTTTGGTGGTGCAGCACAGATGGATGGGGTACATGGTAAAATTTTAATTGAATAATAGCCAATTGATAAGATAAAAATTAAGACATCTGAATATATTTTTTGACAAAGTTAGCAAACTTTGGCTCAGTCCCTCACAACCTCCTGTGGACAGCATTCGACTTCTTCAGGGTCCCAGCAGCTCTCACAAACCTTGTCAAGGCCTACTTCCAAGACATGCAGCTCTGCTTGTCAACGGCAGAACACACCACAGCATGGCAACATCTGGAAGTGGGGGTCATGGCCATAGAGGTGATCATTCGGGCACTGAATCGCAAGGACAGGGAATAAGACCTGGTCTGAGGCTGCCACCTGTCAGAGCATACATGGATGACCTCACAACACTCACCACAACCAAGACTTAAACAGTGCGGCTGCTGAGAAAGCTTCAAGAAAACATTGAGCTGGCTTTCATACTGGCAATGAGGCTATTCCAACTGTCTCAGAGAAGCCTGTGAAGAGCCTAGGTCGATGGTACGACGCCTCTCTCAAAGGCAAAGAGCAAGTAGATCAGCTCAGGAAGGACGTAGCCAGCGGCCTGGAGAACATCAACAGAACCATGCTTCCTGGCAAGTTGAAGCTCAGGTGCATGCAGTTCTGACTACTTCCACGCCTCACGTGGCCCTTAACCCTTTATGAAGTTCTGATCTCAAAGGTGGAAAAGCTCGAGAGACTGGTCAGATCATATGCAAGGAAGTGGCTTGGCCTTCCCAGGTGCCTCAGCAGTATTGGGCTCTATGGCAAGGGAATGTTAGACCTGCCCATTACCAGTCTATCAGAGGAGTACAAGTGCACCAAAGTAAGACTGGAGATGATGCTACTGGATTCGAGTGATCTATTTGTAGCCCAAGCTGCCCCCATCCTGGCTACCGGGAGGAAGTGGACTCCACTGGCTGCAACTGAGCAGGCAAAGGCAGCACTAAAGCACAAGGACATTGTTGGCAGAGTGCAGCAGGGGAGGAGTGGTCTTGGGGACAGCACACCAGCCTGGAACAAGGCCACTCCATCCCAGAGACACAAGCTGGTGGTTCAGGAGGTGTGTCGGGAAGAGGAAACAGAAAGGTGCGCAAAGACTGCGGCGCAGGCAAAGCAAGGGCAGTGGATGATGTGGGAAGGAGTGGAGAAGAGGAAGATCTCCTGGCAAGAGCTGTGGGAAATGGAGGCATTCAGGGCAAGCTTTACCATCAGGGCTGCCTACGATGTCCTTCCATCTCCCAAAAACCTCAGCCAGTGGTATGGTGAAGACCCCACATGCCCATTCTGTCCAAGTCCAGCAACACTTAAAGCTGCCCTGTGGAGTTTTTACATATAAACCAGTGTCCGTTACATTACAGCCACTGCCAAACAAGTTATTAGGATGATCATTGAACACATCTCCACCACACAACAGTCTCTGGTTTGCTTAGAAGCACTGTTGCCTCTCAGGAGCGACATTCCCACGCTGTCGCACAGGAAATCATGCATCTGACGTAGAGTTCAAAGAGCGCATGCGCAGTTGGAAATGTCGGAGACGACGAGGCTAGCAGAGGAGCCACTGAAAGATGTCTGAAAACCCAAAGAAACGGTCCAGGAAAGCTTCCGAAGCCTCTGGAGCTGGTCCCCCTGGTCCTCCCCAACCTCCGCAACGTTCAGAAGAAGGAAAAAAGGCAAAACGAGAGAGTGACACACACAGAAATCAAACCAGAGTAAAGCCCATTTCACACAGAGCGCGCAAAGCGCAGACCTCAGACGACGAACCCATTCATTGTGTATGTGCTACCGGGGCGCAAGAGCACACCGCTCTGCCGATGAGCTGTCTGTATTGTAATGAATCAATCACGAGCAGGAGACCAGAGTAGCGTTCGGGAAAAATGCCCGTTTATTTGTGCACTCCAAAAACTCCGGTAACACTCCAGGGGGGTAACACGTAAGAGTCTCCATCCCAAACTCTGACTTTCTAGCGTAGCACACACACTTCATACACACATACTCACTTACAGTACCCAGCGGGGCAGCCCTCCCCCTCTCTGCTCCACCAATCTCCAGCTCGCACACTGACTGACAGCTGACTCTACTCATACCACACTCAACACTGCCCCAGAGTCGATACAGTAGCCTGGAGCCGGGAGCGTCACTCGTATTGCCGACGTCATCGAACGGCGCACGCTGACTGTTCTTGTTGCAGTACTTGGAAAAACACGGAAGATGGCGCAAATGGGCAAAACTCCACAGGGCAGCTTTAAGCACATCCTAGTGGGCTACAAGACCAGCCTCACCCAAGGCTGTTACACCTGGCGGCACAACCAGGTGTTAAAGTGTCTTGCAGCAGTGTTGGAAACTCGACAGACAAGTGTCAACGCCCTTCCTCCCCGTCATCCCGCTGGCAGGCAACAACATTTGTCCAGGAGGGCGACGGTCAAGCCAGTCTCACCACCTCAAGACACTGGGCAGCTAGGCAGGGCATGTATTGGAAGCTGCTGGCAGACTTGGGCCAGAAGCTCTGCTTTCCACCTGACATCATGTCCACCAACTTGCGACCAGACCTTGTGCTATGGTCAGCCTCGCTCAGGCACGTGTACATTATCGAGCTGACAGTGCCCTGGGAGAGTGCAGTGGAGGAGGCCTACGAGCGCAAGAAGCTGAGGTATGCTGAGCTTGCAGCCAATGTACGACAACAAGGCTGGACAGGTAAGGTACAACCAGTGGTAGACGGCTGCAGAGGGTTCGTAGCCACCTCAACATCCAGGCTACTCCGGGAGATGGGAGTGCGAGGGTCAAGGACCTCTCCAGAGCCGCTGAAAAGGGGTCAGTGGCTTTGGATAAAGAGGAAGGACTCCACCTGGGCCCTCAAATGAGTAGATGGCATCTAGGTGTCATGGGCCAATCAGCAAAACAACAAGGAAGGAGGGCGCCCACTTGATAACCCAGAGGATGCCATCTCTCACTTGAGCATCCCACAGAGTCTCTAGCAGTGTCTCAAGTGTGCAATAAGGGATATTAACATATAGTCCTACACAACAGATCAGATACTTATAAAGTCATCCGAAGTTTGCTGGTGTTAGCCAGGAAAAAAGGAGAACTTTATGTGGGACTTTAACTTTGGCAAGTCTCCACATTAATATAGTAAAATTGCTTGATTTTTAGGTCTGTATGTAGACAGAGATGTCCTTTTATTGTCAGGATTATTTTCCAGCAACTCAAAATTAATGACCTTCCTAACAATTTAGTTGGATTTGTTATTTATAATTTATAATTTATAATTTATAAGACCACAGGTAACATGTTTTATGCTCCCTGTGAATAACCCAAATAATCTTTATTCCATACAGAGTATGTATGTATTCTGTGTTAACACCTTATTTTGAAAAGTGACATAGACATATGTGTATCCTTTGCTGTTTCAACGCATAGCTGGTTTGACCGGGGAGATGTGAGTGATAGCTGGCTTGACTACAGACTATTACTCGGTCAGCCCCTGTGTTTTTTTGGGGGGGTCCAGAGGCAGCGTCTGATGTTTCTGCATCCTTGGCTGTCAGCTTGATGGTGTTTGTCTCTTTCAAAGAACTTAAATAAAGTGTGTCTTGCAGTAACTTCGCCTGCTACAACTGAAGCAAATGATTTGACTACATATTTAAAAGATACAAGTACTATGAAAAGGTAAAACAACCTTTTTGCGCAAAAACAAAAAAACATGTCGTCAGAAACACAATATTTGAACTTTTCATGATTAAGGGAAATTATTTCAACCATATATGTGTCTTAATATCTGTACATTTATTTTATAAAATCAAGTGAAGGAAATCAAAAATTCCTCATCAGTCAGACAAGGTGTGGGTTTAACAGGTGGAGCTGTCTGCTCCCCAAACATATTAGCAGGGGAAACACTAATCATGGTGTCAGCTAAATGTAATGTAAAAGGTACTAGTTGAGTCAATTCTACTTAGCAGAAAAAGAAAAGAAAGTCAGTAATATGAATGGCACACTTTAAATCACTGACTGCAAACCACTCCAGCCTTATCCAATTCCACAAAACACATGTAGACTGGATGGACAAACTCCTATCATAACCCTGCCTGCATCCTCACAAGAAAAGTCCTAGTCATTGTTCTGAATTTGTATTGCTCCTCCTAAATCAATATGATGGAGTCTCCATATCAGAACTGATTCTTTTCAAAAGCATGTACCAGTGGCCCAGTCTGACAGTCCACAGGCACTGTCCTTCACACAGTACTGTGAGGTTAAGTCTAGTTCTTACCTGGTAACCAGCGCAGAGATGATATCGGTGATGTCAGCATTGAGTTTGCTCAGTAGTTCTTCCATGGGGCCAGGCAGAGGAAGCTGCTGGGTAAGATGTTCACAGCGTCTAATCTGCTGCCGGTTCTGCCAGATCAGGTCAGCCAGCTTCTCACACCTGGTGACAGGGAGAGGGGTGGAGATACCACCACAGTGTGGAAGGAAAGGGGAAGAGAAGAAAATTAGGCTGAGTTTCTCTATGTGAGAATATTTATGCATACATCGGCATGCATTTGTGTCAAAATTTTAAAAACTCCTTGAAAGTGTTCTTGAGTTATCTTGTTCACTAGAATGAGACAGATGCAAGGTCATACTGACCTTGACCTTTGACCATCAAAATCCAATCAGTTCATTGTTGAGTCCAAGTGAATGTTTGTGCCAGATTTGAAGAAATTCCCTTAGGGTGTTCTTCAGATATCAGGTTCACAAGACTGAGAGACAAGGTCACAGTGACCTTGAACTTTGACCATCAAAATCCAATCAGTTCATTGTTGAGTCCAAGCGAACGTTTGTGCCAGATTTGAAGAAATTCCCTTAGGGTGTTCTTCAGATATCAGGTTCACAAGATTGAGAGACATGGTCACAGTGACCTTGACCTTTGACCACCAAAAGCTAATCTATTCATCCTCAAGTGCAGGTCAACCTGTATGCCAAATTTGAAGAAATTCCCTCATGGTGTTGAGATGTCCCATTCATGAGAATGAGACCAAGTGGACATTTGTATCAAATCTGAAGAAATTCCCATGACGCTTTCTTGAGATATTATGTTCACAAGGATGGGACAGATGAACGGACAACCCAAAAACATAATGCCTCCAGCCATGGATATCACCAGCACGGAGGCGAAAAAAATAATTCAAACTTTCCTCTAAATCAGATCAATCAATCACATTATATATTAGTTATAATTTGATAGTCAAGTTTATACCAGGACTGTAGGACATCCAGTCCCCCCTCATGAGGACCTCCATTTCCAGCCAGCTGCTGCCTCCTCTTCCACTGGATGAGTTCCTCATCAAGGATCAGAGTCTGCTGCTTCCTCAGCAGGGCCAGGGTCTTCTGGTGTTGTTCTGACAGGTCCTGCAAACACACCACCAGCTGCATGCTGAGAAACATTTGCATATGTGACACTCAGTACGTCAACATACACAAAGAAAATACAAGGAGACATTAATTTATTGGGATATTGTGTTGCTGAGGTGCTAAACACAGAGCTACTGTGATGTAACTTCAGAGTGTATCTTTTAATTTGTGTTAAACTGTGCAGCAGCTTTTATACCTGCATTTTTTCCAGCTGCTAAATTTCAAACAAATGTCTTCTGCTGCTGTTTAGTCTGCAGTGATAACTAATATTGGAAATAATCAATCAATCAATCAATCAATCAATTTTATTTATAAAGCCCAATATCACAAATCACAATTTGCCTCACAGGGCTTTACAGCATACGACATCCCTCTGTCCTTATGACCCTCGCAGCGGATAAGGAGAAACTCCCCAAAAAATAATGTCATGAACTACCCCTAACGGAAATCAAGGAAATCAGATTACTGCAGAATAATAACACAGTAATAATAATGCAGTAATATTATTCAATATAATAGAAAAATAGGGATATTATTCCATATATTGAATATATCTGCTGGGGATGAAGCATCCAACGCAACTCAGAACCAAGTGAGAACCAGAAGGAAAAAGCTATGGTTGAAGTAGCCTCAAACAGGTTTGTTTGTGCTTGTTTGTGTGCCTGGGCAGCCTGAATCATCATCCTGCAGTGCAAACTACCAAGCTCTGCTGCAGCCTTGGAGTGCAAGAGTCATGCTGTCTGAATCTGTATCCAAAACTTTTGTTCAATAAATCATTTCCCACCTTATTCATGAGGTCTGTCCTACTTAGGTGCTGTAGGAAAAAATACAACGTATAAAATACAATCTCTGGGGCGTCAGTAGCGTAGTGGATAGTGCCGGCGCCCCATGTACAGAGGCATCGCCTCGCTGCAACGGCCGCAGGTTCGAATCCGGCTCGCGGCCCTTTGCTGCATGTCAGTCCCCACTCTCTCTCTGTCTCCCCATTTCATTCTCTGTCCTGTCAATAAAGGCAAAAAGCCCATAAAAAATAATCTTTAAAAAAATAAATAAATAAAATACAATCTTTGTCCCGTTCACTGATTTGTTTTTCACCAAAGAAAGAGACTCTAGAACCAACTGCAAGAAAATGAATAAGTCTATCTATTATCTCCTGACTAGAAAGTCATAATAGTATGTGCAAAAGGACATGTGATTATGAATTAATTAGACCAGAAATCATACAAAGCTCATGAGCAGGACCCTAAATTAACACCCGCCGAGCATCAAAAATGCAGGTAGATTTTCCATTAAGCGAATAAATCTCCAAGGGCCAGCCGCCAAACTGGCAGGTAAATGTTTGTACCAAAATAGTCATGTAATAACAGACTATGCTGAGTCTCTACCGTGTTTTTGGGGTTATTTAGGGCCACGCTGCTCTGCTGCTGCTCCTCTCCTCTCCTGTCAATGTCGGAGCTTCACAGATACACACACTACAGATGTGTGTTTATGTGTGTCTAAACACAGTGCGAGCTGATTATCTCGAGCGCTGCTAGTATTGCTGCACTCTTTACGGTACAGGACATCAGCCGATCTGCTAAAATATCACTTGCCGCTGGTCTGCTGCTAGCTTCTGTTAGGCTAATGTTTAGCTGAAGGTTGTGAGTTGCCCGCATTTTTATGTTGGTAATAAAATAATAACATGGAGGCTCTTCATTGCCTCCCACATTATAAACTGCAGCGCATTACAGCTTCACTCCTTTTGTTCTTACCTTTCACAATAAAAACCCTAGACATTTACACTGCATCACTGCTTACCAGAGAAAACTTATTAACATAGTGAGGCTGTGGTGATGAGTTGGTAAATATATTAAAATCATTTTGCATGACATTTTGCTTTGGCCTCTACTTAAAGGTTGTATTCAGCATAATACCGTATTGTCTAAATAAAATGTACTGATGTACTAATGTATATATGATACAAAAAGCCAATGTATTATTTTGGCTAGTAAAAAAATATGCTTGGCTGGTGGATTTTTTTCAGCTACCTTGGCAGGTGAGTCAAATGTTAATTTTGCACACTGCTCTTGAGTGAAATGTATTTTGTGGTGGTGCTCTGGCACTTTGGGTTTGAAATTCGCTTTGCAGTCAGGCTGATATTTTGGTGACAGTGCAGAGGGTGCACAGGTACATCTTTGCAAGTGGCCTTATAGGGCTCAAAAGGGCACGTGACTTCGCAATGCATTGTGTGTAACCAGCGCCATTTTTACGGGCGAATTGTTTTGTTTACATTGCGTTGCGCCGGGAGAGAGATGTGAAGTAAGAGATTTAAATGGACCGGGCAAAGGAAAAGTGTGTCGGACGGTACCAAGACAAGCTGGACCCTGTTCCAAAGGCTCAGTACCTTGACAAAATCCAGAAAATAGGTGGAGTGGATCCATATGAGCACGGAGACTGGATTCAGGATTTAAAAGCCCTGCCGCCGTTGACTGAAGCTGAGCTTGTCCTCTATCTCGTCAATGGTATAAGTTATTATACCGGCGACGAATTTAGGAATAACAAATCTTTAAGGGCTCATGGGCAAGCAAACTTTGGGAGGTTGCAGGACCTCCAAATTTTACGCCTTAAAGAGAAGACCGTCATCATTTCAGAGGTATGTAAACTTTACAAGCCTCACTATGTCCCACCTACGTGTGGTGCTGCCTGTTTGCTTGCTAAGGTTTTGACTAACATATCTTGGTGTCTGCTGGACCAATTTATTTCAAACAAAAAATATTTTGAAGCCTGAAATCCACTCTGCATTTATGTGGTAAATATGTATGGGCTTCTCGGTTATTTATTTCAGAATTAGGGCATTTTCACACCATAAATCTCTAACTCTCCATCGTCATACAGTACAGGCCAAAAGTTTGGACACACCTTCTCATTCAATGCGTTTTCTTTATTTTCATGACTATTTACATCGTAGATTCTCACTGAAGGCATCAAAACTATGAATGAACACATGTGGAGTTATGTACTTAACAAAAAAAGGTGAAATAACTGAAAACATGTTTTATATTCTAGTTTCTTCAAAATAGCCACCCTTTGCTCTGATTACTGCTTTGCACACTCTTGGCATTCTCTCCATGAGCTTCAAGAGGTAGTCACCTGAAATGGTTT